CTTAGATTGGCAACTATGAACCTCTTTTAACTACAGTGAAACGGTGAAAAATGCAATGGTATTGACATGCAATAGGGTCTAATGGCCTCTCAACAACCTTACTGCAGGGCTCAGTAGAAGGAAAGAGGAGAAGAGCAGAGCAAGAAAGACCTGGTTATAGAACTTGACTGACTGGACAGGCCTTAGGCATGCAACCATGAAGTCCATCGCAACTGACCGTCAAAGGTGGAGACAGCCGATTAGACAGTCAACAGAAACTGGTGACCCAACGACATGCAGTGTTACGGAATGATGGTGATGATAATGATGATGACGAACCGCTTAGACCATTAGCTTAAGTGGTGAACCTGTAACAGATTTGAATATTAGTTTTAATACTGAACCTCTGAAAGCTTAGAGTATTAACTTGAATAGTGAACCTCTAACCGTTTAGACCATTAGCCTAACTAGTGAACCTTAACAGATTTTAAAATTAGCTAAAATAGTGAACCTTTAGAGCTTTAGCTTAAATAGTGAGTCTCTATCCGCTTAGACCATTTGCTTAAATGGTGTACCAGTAAAGGCGGCAACGCTAGCTTAGGTGTGATCATGTAACTGGTTAGGAAAAAAAAGCTTACATGGTGATCACGAAACTAGTTAGAATAGTGGGTTAAGTATTGATTCTGTCTGCGCGTATGCACATTTTGGCGTTTTAGGCAGTGTGAGTGTGATTGTGTGTGTTTGTGTGTGTTTGTGTCTGTGTATGTGTGGGTATGTGTGTTATATATGTGTATGTGTATGTGTGTGTGTGTGAAAATCCCACCACTCCTACTCTGCCGGTCTGTTCTTGTTGTTTCCCACAGTAGTATGAGAGTCACACCATGGAAGATATTGGGACCTCACCAGGTCATATCGCTGTAGCCAGCCTTTGTTGCGGAGAGGGCGCGTACTTATCTGAAGTAATGTATGCATGCACTAGCACAGATATATACATAAAGACGTATATTAGTTTGCGAGTGCTTTCCCTTCGCCCATTATCTGCCCCTTTGCCATATCTCCAAGTTCTCAAGAACCTGTTCATTAATCAAGTGCCGCCAAGCCCTCTTAAGTGGATGACACATGAATTGTAGCATTGTTCCTTTCGATCGGCTACAGGGAATCTTAGTTGTGGCCGTAGTACAGGGCTGTGTTTAGAATAGCTATGTCTAACCTGCGCACAACAACGCAGAATGAATAACTGCAAGAGCAGGAAGTCACGACGAAGTAAACAAAGACAGGAGAGGAAATACATACCCTGTCCTCTCCGGACGTAGGTTACTTTGTAACCTTGGGTGGCGGGAGGGAAGTATAACCTTTGCACTTAGGGGATTCTCATCCGAATAGTGACTCTGTGGGTCACCAGATATTAATTGACCTTGGGGGTTCACCTTCACCCACAGAGACAGCAACACACAGGGAATCAATAAAGAATACATAACAAACAAATATGTGATCTCGTAACCAGACACACACTGAAAGTACAGTGAGGAACAGATCCGATCACTTACATACTAAACCAGTGTAACCCATTTGTAATTTTGAGGCTAGACGCCCGCCTGCGGATCAGTAGGTCGTGGGTTCGCGTCCTCACGGAGCCAGACTTTTAAAAAAAATGACCTTGACTCCCAGGTCGACCGAACCTTGAGTGGGTACCAGGTGCAGTCCTGGGAAGTAAAGGAGGTCGGCGTGATGCTGATCACATCACCCACCAAGTGTCGATTAATCTAAAAAAAAATATAGATCTAGCACTATATTTCCAATACGCCTAATGGCGTGGAAAAGATACCTTACCCATGCGTGATTCGTGGAAAAATTAAAACTCTTCGAGTCCCAAGGAACTCATCATACGTTCATAGGTTCCTACATAGAAGCCCAATGAACGCATGATGCGCCGATTTTATTACTTTCTTTACTACCCCCTGGACCTGTGATGCTAAACCCCCTGGGACTCAAAGATAGTATCACTTACAAAAATGGGTCCCGTGAGATTTATTTATGTGTATTGTGTCAAATGAAGACATACACTGACATGATAATTACGTATAATAAGGTAGATGCCACAGTCAAATGTGCTGAAAAGGATTCCATTCAAATTTTGAAACAACTGCGCGGGATAGCACTGAATAGAAAAATAAACCGAGCTCGGTGTGACCTATAACGACACAAAAGAATGATGTTGATGATAGTGATTACGATGATGGCGATGATGATGATTATAATGGTACACAACACCTTTACTCACCTCAGACTGACTATTGTTTGCAGTAATGAGAACTGCGATGACAAGCAGACCACCACTGAAGCGGGATGAGTGCCGTGTTCTCTTACTCAACACGGGGAAGTCACGGGCCATAACCCTCCCCCTGGGAGTCCAGTGAATGGTCAGTCCGATCAACAACCCACTCGATTAATTACATGAATGCTCTGCTGCTTTCAAATGATCCAAAGAAAATGTAGTTCCAAAATACTGACCATCGTCCGTACTGTCTTCATCTGCCACAGTTCTAAAGACGGTGAAGATAAAATGGAAACATAAAAAAATGGAAAACAACATGAGAAGCAAGAAAAGAAGGTTAACTAATAATCGGACGACTCTTTTAAAAACGAAAAGTCAGTTGCGTGTCAGTTGCAGAACCAAAACCAACATTGTTTGGCTGTTTGTGATTTCACTTAGCAAATTTACGTTCGAAGTTTGCCATTATACCGACAGTGGGCTCTTGATAATACTGTTGAAACTAACTCATGGCGGTCTGCTGCCATATCGCCCGCAGCTGAAATCAAAGCCGGCAACACAGGTTTACAAAGCGCATTTTCAAAACCAAAGCCACAGACGCTGACATACACACTTACTATACAACGATGCTAATAAATGGGAGTCGCCGTGGCGTATCGGCTAGACACTGGCTTGCTGATTGGAAGGTCGTTCGTTCGCTCCCTAACGGAGCCGGACGTTTTTCAAAAATGACCTTGACGTCCAGGTCGACCCAGCCTTGAGGGGGTACCGGCTGCATTCCCGGGAAGTAAAGGCGGCCGGTGTGATGCTGACCACATCACCTATCTTGTGCTGATTGGTCTATAAAAATATAGGTCTAGCCCTATATGCCATATACGCCTAAAGGCGTGGAAAAGAGACCTTTACTTTATTCTATATATAATTACAAAGTACCAAGTGATGTTACCAAGTAGGTAACATATTCTATATAATATTCTATTATATACTTTATTCTAATAATTAATCAAATAAATCATTAGAAGAACTATGATTGTCTGAATTATGGCTGCCTCATCACTTAGAAAACGTAGCTGCCAAATCCAAACAATCATAAAAACGATTGCATGACGTGTTGAAACAGATTAATAGTATCCTGATCGCTTTAATTACACGCAATGATTATCACAGTTTAAAGTATACTGAAAATATAAAATATGCTAAACTTAAACCAAAAGAGAACTATATGACACAATCCGCTTGCCAAACCTGTGCTACCAGTGCCAGATCTGAACAATGACAGTGAGGAAAACAGAAAAGAACAATTACAACTGAAATTAGATTCCTACGAAGGGCTCGTAATATAACAAAACGAGACGAGAACAGGAATGATGAAATCCACAGGAGAATGGTGAAAGCGGCAGCACTGGATTGCATTTGAAGACAACAGATGAAACGGTTTCGCCGTATAACACGGATGTCAGCAAACAGTAAACCACAGCAAACAATTAAATACAGATCAGGCTAAAAGCGAAGAAGAGGCCAACCATGCAAAGAATGGACCAAGGGAATAACAGAGTCCATGGGAATTCCAATTTACTAAGCGCATAAACGGGCACTTTTCCGTAAATGTTACTTTAAATTGACACCGCAAGGTACCCAGGGATTAAGATGGAATGAGATGATGAGGCTAAACTGAACAAGCAATATGTACTCCTTCAATCTGTTTCAATTAATATATAATCTATGCAATAATAAATAACATGTAATTGACAAACACAAATATCTGATACCGAAAAAGTAGGCGGGGGAACAGGGGGGGGGGGGGGGGGCAGTCCATATATCGTAATTATAAGCTTGATTAAAATGATATAATTGTATAAATCACTACTGCTATGAAAAAGCCTACAAGGGATTTGGCGAGAATGTAGTCAATTAATTTTCCATTTAAGGATTCAAGAAATAAAGCGCTTCTTTCAAACAGCAGTGGCGTTACATCGTGTACGTCTATCCGCGACCCTCTCCAGCTTCTGGAAAAGGCGCTGGTCTGTCTTATGCGTTTTATGGTTCTAGTAACGAACTAGGGACCAGTGAGAGGTGACTGAACATTTATTCATGGGTAACGAACTAGGGACCAGTGAGAGGTGACTGAACATTCATTCATGGGTTCTAACCTTTGAGACGCGTTAGCCTAACTGGCAAAAGTGTCAGGTTGGCGCGCCAGGTTATGTTTTCTACAGTTCCGGTCTTACCGACGATCATGCAAGCTCTATAATACAGTATGTGAGTGATTTTAACGACCACATAACATATACAACTGGCCCCAATACCACACACTGAGCCTAGGTACCACTAGAGAGTGCATTCTACACCCCGCGGTTTCAGTCTTCTGAACATTTTGCAGTGACCATAAAATCGTTGTTGCTTCAGTAACGCAACAGTACCCTCCTCGTCGCCGACCAATGCTGACAGATGAAATAAACTCATCTCCTACTTAAAATCCTAGACGGCTATAATATACCCACCAACAAACACTAATTCTGCTTACGAGTGAAAACGCCATCTCGTCGGCCGCTACTCACAGAACAACGATTAATACGCAACAAAGAAAGCTTTTTCAGGACAACAGTACACCGGGACACCCCTTTAACGTAGACAGGCCCGAGCAAGCATCAATGAAAGGTCACATAGTGTGTAGCTGGGCCCGACTTCGTTTCCACAAACCGTTTTAGAATACTTGTGTTTTGACCAATTGTAATCTGGCAATTAGCACTCTACGTCGACTTGCCACGTGGCCCTCAATAAACACATTCCAGCTGCCTTGAAAAAGTAGTACATACAGGCAATGAAGACTAATGAATTTCCTCAAGAAGGCTATTGGTACATTCTGCCATTTAAACTATTTATCTTTTGAGAGAGGGAGGAGAGAGAGAGAGAGAGAGAGAGAGAGAGAGAGAGAGAGAGAGAGAGAGGCGGAGAGAGAGACAGACCGACAGACCGACCGACCGACCGACAGACCGACCGACCGACAGACCGACAGACCGACAGACAGACAGACAGACAGACAGACAGACAGACAGACAGACAGACAGACAGACAGACAGACAGACAGACAGACAGACAGACAGACAGACAGACAGACAGACAGACAGACAGACAGACAGAGTAAGAGACAGACAGAAATCCAGACAGACAGAACTGGCTGTTGTAAATAATATAAAGGTTGAACAAGTAGGTAACAATGACAGTTTCAAGGAAAGAAAGTTAGCGATACCTGCAGGAATAATATCGAGGAAATGTTATTTTACTGTGGCAGAAGAAACAATAAATTATGTTTGCATGTCACGACAACGAAACTAATTATGGTATCCCATTTATGACTGTTGTCTGGGCTGCTAGCGTGGCCTATAAGTTTTATTATTTCAAGCATAAATGTGCATTCGTTTCCTTTTTGTTAACTTCAGTAGTGAAAATATGTGCGATTACTGTCGGCAGAGGGTGTGAGACCAACAATAAAATGTCTGCCTCTACAGTTCATTTTAAAAGATCTGAAAATCATGGAAGATTGGCTAATAATCAGCGTCTTCTCTTGGAAGCTGACATTTTTGGTCATATCAAGGGCCATGGCGGATTGGACAAAAATAACGCAGAAGGCATGGTACCAGGAAGGAGGAGAACGGGCCGACTAACACGAAGGTGAGCACAGGATAAGAGTGACTCAATGAATATGAAAGTATATGAGCGGGAGAGCTGGCGAGAGGACGATTTTCTTTTACGTAGACCGTGATGAGAGCGACGTTCTGCAAAGGACCTGCTACATGATGATGACGACAGTTCGTGGCCACTGCATTAAATTAAGCATATGTATCATACAAAAACTGCCATTACTGCCTGTAATTACCAATTTAGCAATGCAGGCGGTGGTTTCTCTGTGCTTGGGGTTTAGGGCCTTTTGGCTAATGAAGTTACCATTCTAAACCAATTTCCTGCATGACAGCCTGCGTTCTGAGCCGTTTGACAAGCCGCTACTCACATTACCAATCGAATTTATATAAAAAAAATTTTGTAAGCTTCAAATTTCATACTAATGGGCACACAAAAGAAGATGTGGCAAATATCACGTATAGGTTATAGTAACGCTGTCGGGCCCAGAAAGAGAGCGACTTCCCTTCCCATTGATGCCTCATTGTGATGCAGGACGTCTCCTATCTTGCGGTGTTACAATATGGTTTCCTTCAACGTTCGGTCAGCGTATATAATGATTGTGGGAGGTTGTGTTGTCTTGAGTCTATTTCAAGCGCCGCAGGCTCCTGTGTACAAGAAAGAAGTACTGCAGGGGGAGCTGCGCAGGCGCGACGATTCCTGAGTATCGAATATGGGATATTTTTATATTTCTTCGTTCGTTAGCAGTGGCTCCTTCCCCCTCCCTTCCCCGAGACAAAAACGCACTTACAAGGAGGTAAGAGAAGAAAAATATCACTGTTTCCATAGTCCGGAAACGTCGCGCTGGTAGCAAAACTTGAAAATAATCACGCAAGTCTGCAGTCAGAAGACGGTGAAAAGAGCGTTTTAAAGCGTTCACATAAGGAATATATGACAACCCCGCAAGATAGGAGACGCCTTGTATGACAACGAGGCATCAATGGGAAGGGAAATCCATCTGTTTATGGGCCGAAGTTTGTTACTAGAACCCATACATGTACTTCCCAGGAAATTTTCTAGTATTCACTTTAGCTGATGCCAGTGTGGGTTTGAACCATTTTATGAAGGAAAAATAATAGAAATAATGTCCCTAACAAGCATGTCGTAGCAGGCGATTAATTAGGAGTGTTTCCTTTAAAATAGGAGAGCCTCTATCTGGAAGGCGAGCAACCAACAGTACGCATACAAACAAGCCAGATCTGTAAAAGAATGTGCAACGCAAAACTCAAGTTCTGGAATAAGACCAAAGTCAAAAATTATTTGATAAGCCAAAACACTCCCCTGGAGTTTACAGTCGGTGAACGCTAGAATAAAAAGAGAATTTAGCTGAATCTGTCTAGAAACACATGTCAGACTGTTACATTGCCACCATCATAGGGACTGGAACATACGACCATTTTGTCGACAAGGAAGAGTCCTAGCTTCTGTGATTCCTTATAAGACCATATTAAAAGGATGAATATAATCCTAAGCATGCGCTGTGAATACTAAAAAGAAAAGATTAGGACTATAAGTGTAATCCAGGTATATATTGTCATTCCCAAACAGAATATAAAAAGAAAAATGCAATCCAAGGTATATGCCTGTGTTTGACAATATAAGAGATGAAATTTTATATATTTATATATATAGACCTAGGCCTGCACAGTGATTGTCGAATAGAAGAGATTAAGATTAAGACGATAAATATAATCCCAGGCATATACACTGATTCCCGCATAAAAAAGACTAAAAGGAAAATATAAATATCCAAGGTATATACTGTGAGTCCCGAACATACAAGATTGAAAAGAAAATATAATCCCAAGAATGCACTGTGATTCTCGAATAGAACAGATTAAAAGGGAATGTTTAATCCAAATGTATTCTCTGGCACATCACCCACTCAGTGCCCATTTGTCGATAAATCTATGTCTAGAATCGCAAGCCTAGAATCGCAAGCCTAGAATCGCAAGCCCGATACGCCACTGACGTAAAAGTAATAGTTTACCTACCAAGTATGTACTGCGAAATGTGAAGCTTTCATTCACAAGCACACAAGATTATTATTTCAAGTGACCAGTTCACTTACCCTAACCTATTTCCTACGTTCACAAAGAAATTCCACATACTCATTTTACGAGGTTGTTTCAACGCTAAAGAGATATCAGTTTACGAGAGCACAAAAGTGGGCTCGAACCCGGATTTTCATGCAGACAAAGTAATATATCATTCACTATACCATTATCGCAACCACCAAACATACCCTCCAAGTGAACATCCTGAAAACCCGGAACGAACACAGACGTAATGTTTGTCAAAACGATAACATTATACCCCACTCGAAGGTTTATCTTACACAACACTGACAACATCAAATCTCGCTTACAAGGTCGCACAAAAAAATGGGCCCACTAGGCTGTACATTTGAATACAGTGAAGGGTGTGGCTTGGAACATACTGGCCGCGATAGAAAGATATTTTTCTTGGCTTCCTTCTGACGCCCGTCAGACAAATGTTTGTGTCTATCTTTTATTTTATGCTGTATGGCTTTGGCAGTCATGTCTACCCACAATCTTCGGTAAAGTGTACTTGTGACCATTTTTGACACTTATGATTTTCCATGCCATGGTGTTAAACTGGCCAGCATCATCTCTCATGCCTCCCTGTGCTTCTTGTCCCTTTTTTACTTCCCCGCCATAACGATGAATTCAAGTTTCCTCGTTCTTACATCATAACTGAAGACTGTTATTTTGTCTCCTTCTGATGTGGGCAATCATTTCTCTTCGTGAATCATTTCCTTTCAAGAGATCTTCATTACTCTTTTTACCTGCCCATGATATTCTGATAATTCGCCTATTAAACCACATCGCCGCTTCCAAATATGTTTCAACTAATCGTTTAGCTGTTATCGATGATTGCGAAAAGACTACAAGATAGAACGGAAAGAAATGCTATGAAAGTTCCTTGTGAGGCTCAAAGGCGCAGCTGGACGACAATGTATTTTATGGTAGTCTAAGTCAGCGGTTCTTAAACTTTTTTTCGCCACTGCACCCTTGTCAGGCAACACAAATGTCGTTGCACACCTACTCTTAAAGCGGTTTTAATAATAAGGAAAATAAGAAAAACAGAGCACATTTAATGTTCAGCTGTCTTTAATGCGATGAATGAAACTGTTTATGAATTTTTCATTATTTCCTGTATGTAAAGGAAAGTTTAGTTAATTTTACCCTCAAATCACTTGACCCAGAAAGTTTAGTATCTGTTCTTCATGTTAGCGTACGTTGAGAATGCACGGTAGCCTTGCCAACAGCATTGTCTTCCCAATACATCTGCAACCAGAACTCTTCTTGGCTTCCTTCACGTTGTTTCTGTTTTCAACTGTTGTCTTCAGACAACTGCAACCAGAACTCTTCTTGGCTTCCTTCCCGTTGTTTCTGTTTTCAACTGTTGTCTTCAGACAACTGCAACCAGAACTCTTCTTGGCTTCCTTCACGTTGTTTCTGTTTTGAACTGTTGTCTTCAGACAACTGCAACCAGAACTCTTCTTGGCTTCCTTCCCGTTGTTTCTGTTTTCAACTGTTGTCTTCGCTGATATCAAGCACATTTAAAAAAAAATTCTTGATTATTGCCGCGGCACCCCTTGCATACGCTCGCAGCACCCCTGGGTGTCGTGGCCCCCAGTTTGAGCACCTGTGGTCTAAGTGATCACATGTGATAGTTTAAAAAACATTGTCAGATATGTCAGCGATTGAGTTGGTAATGAAACGATCTGATTATTCGATTCCATGGTTGTTGACCTGTCTCTTCTATTCCGTGTCTTTTTTCATCTTCTTCTTTGCGTTTACCGGCTGTAAACGCTGACAGAACGTTCTGGTGGTTATTTTACTTCCAGACGTAAGCTTTATTCGAGAACCTAAGTTTTGCGTGCCTGATTTACCCATCTAAGTTATTTGTATGCAGCCTGTTGGTTCATCGCCTCTCAGGCAGGTGACCCCGACTTAGACGGAAACTTCCCTAATTAGTCGACTTTTATGACATACTTTTTAGGAGAATAGGGAGTCTGTTCTCTCTCTCTCTCTCTATCTCTCTCTCTCTCTCTCTCTCTCTCTCTCTCTCTCTCTCTCTCTCTCTCTCTCCTCCTCCTCCCCCTCTCTTTTTTTCCAATGTGGCTCTGGAACCCACACGGAGATTTTCATTATTAAAATGAGGATACAAGCTATACATACACATACACTACTCACTTTTTTGTGGTGGGGAAAAAAAAGGGGGGGGGAGGGTGGGAGGGAAGTCAGTATATATGCTGTCAATACCTGCCTTTTATCGCTAGATGCCACAGTTTAAGAATCGATAGGTAGTCGAACAAGGGCGCGTTCAGTCGCTTGGTATGCTGTGCTGTTGTAAGGTCTAAGGTGTCACTGACCCCATCAGTCTAATATCTTCTAACAGTGCCATCCTGGGGTTTCCATTTGCTCTTGTTCTCGCTGTCGGCATCGTCGAATTTATTCTTAGTAGGTGGTTGAACTATTTTGAATCATTTTTCCCCCTTCTCTTAATGAATTTAACAACCGGTGGTATTGTTCCAACAGTTCTCAGTCTCTTCATTTCTTCACAGTGTACAAAGCTTGAAAGGATTTAAAATGACGGAATGAGAATCCTCTTGGATTGCACCCCAGTTAGAAAAAAATGATGTATTTGCTTGGGCTGTCATCGGTAAAGTCTATACTGTCACTATCGCAAGACAAGGCCTATATGCGAGTTACCAATGACGAAAGGCATCAGTTGCATAGTAATTTGAACGATTTAAGAAAAGACAGATTGAAAAGAAGAATGTCATGGATGGCACTAGCCGAAGATACCATCGAGACGGCGGCCTCAGTCAAGCAAATACACACGGGGCAGGAATGGGTTGACATGAACACTAACAACATCAGTTTCCATCAGGTTATTATCACGTTAGGAAGAGAAGAGAGTGGTGTAACGGTATGACACAGGTACAACAACTGCTAAATGGAAAGGCTGGGCTAGATGATGTAACAGTGTACACTGATGGTTTTCTTCATCGGGGTGTAAGATCTGGCTGGGGAGTTTCCGCTAGAATGAAGGGGGAAATTGTGGCAGAACAAAACGGGGCTTTTGCATTTACAACTTCAAGCATGAGAATGGAAGTGGAGGCAATCACTGCAGCTCTGAAGTGGATAGCAGAAAACAAAATTACCGATTATTGGTGTCTGATTCTCAGTCGGCATTGCGAAAGGTCCAAAATGGACTAATGTGGCATGAACGAAAACCTTGCACCAGTATGCCAACATTGCAGGGAATCACGTGGATTTACTGTCCGGGAAACGCAGGAGTGCAAGAGAATGAAAGAGCGGATTATCTGGCTATAAAAGCGAAAGCTACAGGAACACTCGTATTGGACAAGGGAGATATTCTGAAGACCATATATAAAAGACTTTTGACAGAAGACACGAGACTAGATGAAATAACAGGGGCAAGAATGTATGATGGAGGAATTAAGTGAGGATGCGGCAAGGGGGAAGGGGGGGGGGGGGGGGCGAGTGAGAGGAAGAGATCGGCGTGTGTATAATCAGTGTGCTACGGCAACAGTTAGCATCTATACATTACGTCATTTGCTGCAGGAGACGGAGCATTTATGGGTATCTGTCTGTCTGTCTGTCTGTCTGTCTGTCTGTCTGTCTGTCTGTCTGTCTGTCTGTCTGTCTGTCTGTCTGTCTGTCTGTCTGTCTGTCTGTCTGTCTGTCTGTCTGTCTGTCTGTCTGTCTCTCTAGTAAATTTCAGCCTATATCGGCAGGTACATTCCTTCAGCTAACATTAACATATAATGAAGCACAAATCTCGAATCCTTTAAATTAACATACGTGAACCATTGTGTCCCTTGTTACACTGAACATGGCAACGTAGAAGTCGAAGATTAACCACGTGATGCTAGGGGAAACACACACACACACACACACACCTACACACGGACACACACACCTACACACACACACACACACACCTACACACGGACACACACACACCTACACACACACACACACACATACACACACCTCGTGCGCAGGCGGACAAGGACTCAGACACATCGGGGGGAAAGGGTGTGTGTCTCAGCCCGCTTACAAATGTTTAGAGGGGATCTCAGAAGGCTTGTCTTTATCTAAGCGCACAATAATATTAATAATAATGATGATGATAATAATAATAATAATAATAATAATAATAATAATAATAATAATAATAATATTAATAATAATAATAATAATAATAATAATAATAACACTGGCAATAAGAATAACGTGTTGAATGGTAAATAATATAATATAAAGTTAGAAAAAAAAAACTTAAATAAAAGTGAAAAGCCATGTCCACGCATATAGGCGTATTAGGCACACAAGAACTAGACCTAGACGTTATAAATGCAGCGAAATACACACGCAATAAACTGTGCAACATTTAGTTTGTTTTATAACTTAAACGTTATAATCAAGGCTGGATTTAGAATTGACGAAGCCTTAATGGGGGGGGGGGGGGGGGGGGGGAATCTGAGGCTCTATGGTTTCAAATTACACCAGCTAATCTCAGAAAAAAGATCAAATACATATAGGCCTTTTGAATATATGGATCCCTCGTGTGGGTTCCGGGGCCATATTATAGGGAAAACAGGAATATACCCACTGCCTACCAAAAAGCATGTCGTAAGAGTCGACTAATTAGGAGCTTTGTGCGAAGTTGAAGTCCATCTACCTGAGAGGCAAGGAACCAACAGTCTGTACACAAGTGTGTCTGATCTGTCGAACGAATGCACATGCAACACTTAGGTTCTGGAACAGGACTGCAGTCCAGAAGTGGGCCAACAACCAGAACATTTCATCAGAGTTTACAGCTGGTGAACGCGAAGAAGAAGAAATATATGGATAATTGAAACAGGTTTCATTTTTACTTAAAGAAATAATTAGGAATGTGACCCGGAAATCATATTTTGTAATCCTCTTTAAGTTACAGCTTAAAATAAGTTTTCTTAATTTCCTAAATGTTAAATCGTTGATTATTCATTACAAGATCTGCCACGTAACATGTCGCTTTTTATACACTTGTGTGAAAGTGCAGGCAATTTTTCTTAGGACACGGTTGCTCTCAATTCATGTTCTAGCATCTTTAGCTGTGAAAATTATTTTTCTCCTGAGTAATTTCTTACGTTAGATGCAGAAATAGTCGTAACACTGCTACAACATTAGGGAAAAACTTATCGAAACTAGTCTTTAAAGACTATTTGATACAGATGTTTGTGTTGAATTTGTTCTTTTTTTTTATAATACTTCTGTTTGGCATAATCACGGATGCTTC